TAAACCCCATACTTTGTGAGTGTAAATGGCACGTAGGCGCACAGGCTACTCGCAAACATGTCGATCTGACGTAGCTATGTTTCCTGATACATGTTAATCTAATGTTACGATTAATGTTTAATTTTTATGTCTAAATCACGGAAATCAACTTGGCTGACAAAAATAATGGCAAATTGGGGGAGTCCGACACCTCCAAAATGTCGATCTGACGAGGTTATGTTTCTTGATACATGTAAATCTAATTTTACGAATAATGTTTGATTTTTATGTCTAAATCATGAAAATCAACTTGGCCGACAAAAATAATGGCAAATTGGGGAAGTCCGATACCCCCAAAATGTCGATCTGACGAGGTTATGTTTCCTGATACCTACATGTAAGTCTCATTTTTGTAATCGGTAATTAATGTACTATAATTCTTTATCCCATTTTGACGTTTAAAAATGACATTATTGAACGCATAACAATAAAGGTAAGTAGACGTTTATCACTTCAGTGATTTTAACTCACTCTCGGCATTTTAAGTCACTCTGCCCAACTAAAAATCTGAAACCTCAGTGATTTAAAATATTTTTAACTCACTCCCGGCATTTTTCCTTGTACTTTATTTTTTAAATTTCCACAAAATGAGATAAAATTTTGTATACATCACGTGAGTTTAAATGTTTATTCATTCGAAGAAAATTAACCCACTCGCTAGGGCTCGTGGGTTAAACTTTCTTCTCATTAATAAACGTTCATTTAACTCACTTGGTGTATAAATAACTATTATCCCATGTTGACGTTTAAAAATTACATTATTGAACGCATAACAACAAAGGTAAGTAGACGTTTATCACCTCAGTAATTTAAAGATTTTTTAACTCACTCTCGGCATTTTAAGTCACTCTGCCCAATTAAAGCTCTGACACCTCAGTGATTTAAAATATTTTTAACTCACTCTCGGCATTTTTCCTTGTACTTTATTTTTTGAATTTCCACAAAATGAGATAAAATTTTGTACACATCACGTGAAGAAAATCATCACTCGCTAGGGCTCGTGGGTTAAACTTTCTTCTCATGAATAAACATTCATTTAACTCACTTGGTGTATAAATAACTATTATCTGATAATTTATACCTAAGCTACTTCATGCCATTTGAATTTACCAGTGTTGCCAACTGCTCTTTGCAAAATTAGTGGCACGGAATTCCACCTTTACTGGCAATTACAAAATGTCGAATTGAGGAAGGCCCTATTTTTAAGCGATTCCAAATCAGACACAAGTTTTGACTCCTTTTGTATTACCATTATCAAATCATAAATGATGACGTCAAGTTTCAAGACATTGGTTTAAGCATGGGTCACTCTCTCTAGTTACCAGAATTTGAATTTATGTTCATACTTGTTCATTATATGCTAAAACTTCAAAAATTGTCATTCAAATCAGCATGAGCATGCAATATAACGTGATCATTATATAATATACAGGGTGAGTTACTAAGCGCGCGGTGGTCCATATCTCCTATACTAACAGGAATCGGAGAAAAAACTAAATACAAAACTTGTAGATAAACATGAGTACTACATTCCTAAATTATTTTCCAGTATACAGGGTGATCCAATAACTAGTAGTGACACAAAGTTATTTTTTCTTAAATGACCCTCCCTGTATATTATGACATTTCTGGATTCGGCGGAAAATTCTAGACATATTTTGTGCATAATGTAACATACCTATCTTCAACTGTTTCGGAAATATTGACAGTTGAAAATTGACTTTTTTGCATCTTTGACAGACTGTGAAACCTAAACGGTTAATTTTAGAGGAAAACGGATTTCACATTCCTGTCTTAGATTTTCATAAGCTATCATTTGACACCAACTTTGAATTTAACCGAAGATTAATAATTTAGGCGGAATTTTTAATCATGGATTATATTCAAGATTGGTGCCAAATGATAGTTTATGAAAAACTAAGATAGGAATGTAAAATCCGTTCTCTTGTAAAATTAACCCTTCCCGTTCTACAGTCTGTCAAAGATGCAAAAAAGTCAGTTTTCAACTGTCAATATTTCCGAAACAGTTGCAGATAGGTATATGATATTGTACATGAAATATGTCTAGAATTTTTCACAGAATCCAGAAATGTCATAATATACAGGGAGAGTCATTTAAAAAAACATAACTTTGTGTCACTACTAGTTATTGGGCCACCCTGTATACTGGAAAATAATTTAGGAATATAGTACCCATGTTTATCTATAAGTTTTGTATTTATTTTTTTCTCCGATCTCCGTTAGTATAGAAGATATGGACCACCGCGCGCCTAATAACTCACCCTGTATATCCTGTTCACAATCCGATGTCCACCGGTGCAGGTACCTACATTTATCACCTTTCCCTATCAAATAGCAATGAAAGATGATAATTTTTACCGGTACCAGTGAACATCGGATTGTGAACGGATAATATGAGGCGCTTTCTTTTTCCCATCGATCTATCCAACCCAACATTATCAGTCAGTTATTCCAAATTCTTCTTCTTCTTCTAGTCTTAACTTCATTTCCTGTCGGACTTGTCGGACAAGACTAATTTAGCATCCAGAAAACATTATTTGATCAAGACTTACTTTTGTCCGACATATATGTATCAGGAAACATAACCCCGTCAAATCGACATTTTGAGGGTATCGGACTCTCCCAATTTGCCATTATTTTTGTCGGCCAAGTTGATTTCCGTGATTTAGACATAAAAAACAAATATTATTCGTAAAATTAGATTTACATGTATCAAGAAACATAACCTCGTCAGATCGACATTTTGGGGGTGTCGGACTCCCCCAATTTGCCATTTTTTTGTCGGCCAAGTTGATTTTCGTGATTTAGACATAAAAATTAAACATTAACCGTAAAATTAGATTTACATGTATCAGGAAACATAGCTACGTCATATCGACATGTTTGCGAGTTGCCTGCGCGCATACGTGCCATTTCCGAGAAAAGTCGTAGAGGAAAAAGTTGTCGGACTTGATGTAAGCAAGCCACTCACAGAGTATGGGGTTTAGGTACATGTATAACTGAAAAAAAAGGTCCTTGGATGGTTGATTATAATTGTTTTAACCGAAACTCACAAAATTTACGACATACCTACAGATGTTTAATATGTTTAGATACAAAATTATTTACAATGAGGAAACTTACAACAAATGTGATGGGGTTGTTTTACTGATAAAAGAAACATTAAAATATAGTCACAATTTTAAAAATATAGGTGAAGTTAGATTTATATTCAGGTGAAAATATGAAAAGGCATATCATTGCAGGGGATATTAACTTTGACATTTTAAGAAATGATAGGCAAAAAACTGAAGAATACAAAACAATTCTTGCATCTTTCGGCTTCACATCTTACATAAACAAATATACAAAACCAGTTTCAAAAACTTGTCTTGATCACTTTTTTGTAAAAGGAGATCTTTTTTTCTAAAAAATAGACTCGTATGTTATAAACTACAAAATAACAGATCACTGTCCCACTTTAATTTCATTAACCAACGACTGCAGTGAGGAAAATCAAAAAATCCTACAACAACCTCATGAAAAGCAGATCCTTGGGACCAGGTTTATCAAGAGACTGATGTACACAGAGCCACTTTAAACTTTGTAAATAATCTTATATAGATTGTCATATTCCTCCATAATATCATGACATTGTACCTTTTACGACCCTCGAATACTTTCCCAAATAATGTCTCGCCGTCGCCGAAAGAAATATTATTATATGACCCAGACTTTCTGTTAAAGAACCCAAAGATATTGTATGTAAATAAATTAAACATTTGTCTACCATAAACCCCAACATTCCCAAATTTCCTTAATGGTCATTCTTTGGGCGAACAGACTGTCATTTATTGCCAATATTTATTTAGGGTTTTCCAGTTGTAATTATGTAGGTTTTAGAAACGTTTTAGAAGGGATGTAAAGGTCGATTTGTAAGAGATCTAGTGAAGCAAGAAGACAGTCTTAAGACAGCTTCAGTCGTAGTAACACATTTTGTTAAAACTCTCTCTAAAATAAGTCTTACTTTTGCTGTAGTTCAATTTCATTCTATATTCCATTACCTAATAAAGCTACAAGTTTCAAACCAAAAACAAAAGTAGTTTTAACCAAGGCAAAACACTGAAGGATCACAACAAGATGCAGTCCAGTTATTTCTGAACTCCTGGAGACGCAATAATTTCTGAGTCCATATTCTGATTCAGCGTTAGAAGTTTATGAAATAGACCAAATTTCAGTATGAACGGTTTCGAAAATATTGAGGGAAAACCGTCTTCAGGGTGCCCTATTTGAAGGGGCGCATGAACCATTTTTCGATAAATAATTATATGAACTTTTCTTCATCAAAAAGCTCGGGAATTGCCGCTTAGATCTTTAGAAAATAGGAAATACCCATATAGCAGGTCAATGAAGCACGGAGAGTTGTAAACTTATGAGAACAATGGGAAAAGGAACCTCCAGAGATATCAGGCAGCATCAGACCATAAATGGGATTAACATTTGAAAAAACTACTAACAGAAGATAAGAATGAGCAGAATTTCGAGAAAAAGATACCTCCCATTCCATGTGATGGAAACTATTGGCTTCCCGATATCGCTCACACGTCCTGAGGTGTAAAAAGGGCGCGTGAATCTAAGAACGAAAAATAGTTTCCATGGACAATATGTAATATTCCATGTGTTCAAAGAATACTTATACCAAAGATTATTAGACTTTGCTTATACGGAATTGAAACTTCCATCAGACGAATAAGAAAACTTCTTACATAACCACTCGCTGCGTAGAATCTCTGATGGGAAAATAATAAGTAACAGAGTGGGAACGAGTTACAGAGATAGGGAATCAGAAGAGGTAGCCGGGCTTTGTAAAAGACAAGTGGTTCATTGTTTACCTAATACATAGAAAAAAAAATGTTTCTTGCCATGTGATTTTGAGAAAACTGGTTGGATTCAGTTGGATTTTGAAAGTATTTATTTTATTATTTATCAATTTAAATGTTATTATTAAATAAAAATAAAATAATGTAAACGGTAAGACATGCATCTATTTTTTGTTATCTTGAAAATGCAAAAAGGATAATTCGTAGAGCTTCGGATCTGAATTATAACACTTTCTGGCAACCTCCTTAAACCAATAACAAAGATGTGCCAATCGAGTTTGGTTTGTAATCGTTATAAACGCTCCCTTGTCTAGTGAATGCTGGTGTGAATCAACTAAGGTTACCTAAAACATAATTATTAATAGCAAACTACCTAGATAATTAGAATTAAAAGTTCAACCACTAAATACAATCAGTAATAAGTTAGTAGATGCAATTGATTAAACCTACCAATGATACTTCATTCATAATTCTACAACCAGGCCTATAAACTAAACTAAGTAGGTATATGTATCGCACCTACACAAGGCTACGTCGAAACTTTCGAAAGTTAGGTATATCTCATGCAGTTTTAGAAATATAAAGGTCTTGCCACTCATTATAAAGAAAAAAATTATGATGATCCCTAACTTTACCCAGGACGGTTTTGTTGTTAAGGTATCCGTATGTATCTGTCCGACCACTACACATTTACAATGGCGTAATAAATTCTACGGACAAATAGATTGGGATGGAATGAGGAGTCGCCAATTTCTACATGGAACACTTTAAACAACTGGCACAAGAGACGGCCACACAACTGGAAAAAATATTTAGTTATCTGAACTCTAACGAGGATACAGTCCACGATAGAAATTGTGAAGGAAAGAAAATTGCATTATTCGGCGTCCTCTCAGATAGACAATCCTCGGGGTAACTTGGACACAATATGATTAAAACTCTGTCTGAGAGAACAATAAGAGTATGTGAACCAAGATATCTTCAGGATGGAGATAAAATGCCTGATATAAGCACTTGAGTTGGAAAAAATGGTTACTCCCAATAAGGAGGAAATAAATAGCGTACAGATAAGGAATTTGCAAAGGTCGCAGGAAGACCCTTTCTTCCCTATACATTAAAACGTCAAGGATCGCATAGGACGAATATAAGAAAGCCATACAGCATTGACCCCATCTACACCGGCGAAACCCATTCAGCGAAGTCTTAGATTGGTCATGGATTCTAGGACACATCCCGGACAGCTTTATAACTTATCGCCTTACTGTCGAAGTCAAAAGTTGTTTCACTCAGGACTCGTTCGCACGTTTCAGGATCTTGAATTTCACTAAGTATCCGGAAATTTGCTACTGGGAAATCTCTGGTAACGCGTATCGATAGTTCGCCTGGTAGAGCATTCCTTCTAGGCCGAATTCGTCGAATATTCCAGCACCGGACATACAGAGGTTGATTTATGTGGGACATATGGATTTGGAGAGGCGATGTAAGTCAAATTTTACCTCATTATGTGTACTGCATAACACTAAATTTATATTGCCCAGTAGAATGTTTAGCTTACTTATAATTTGTAATTTTTTTACATGTTTTCCTCCTTTTCAAACTATTCAAATTTTGTAGGCATGTCCTGGCTAAAATGGGGGATTAAACCGTAAACTCTCACCGTATTAGTTTTTCTTTGAAAAATAAACAACACGGTCCTTGCATCTGCTATCAAAATCACATACAAATTTTCCTTCGGAGCTTTATCCAGCTTCACCCATTCAGAATAGTTATTTTTTATATTTTCATGTAAGGATCTCGAAAGCCGTTCCATGTATATGGAGCTTCTCTGAAAAATTAATTTAAAATTTACGAACCGCGGTTTTTAAGTCGTGAACCTACATTAAATATCTTACAAAGTAGAATTATTAATAGATAACATACATAGTATAACTAATAAATAATATTTACCCATTCCACCAAATTATATGTGTGAGTTTCAGTGTACTTGAGGGCTTCTGGAACATTTAAATTAAGATGCTTTAAAACTTGGTTACTTTTCAACTCTTCGTGAATTTTATTTCCTTCCAACATACTAATGGCTAGTAAGTGTATTAGCCTAATGTTAAGGTTGTCTTGAGGTCCCTTTATCTACAGAAGTCAAACAATCATAACATTTTTGAGATATCGAGGGTAAACAACTATTACGTTGAAGTACTATTGAGTACTTTGCTTTTGAAAAAATAATTTAAAGAATTTGAGACTAATTTAAAACTTCAATCATAACTGATTAAAAAAAATCAACATTTTACTTACTATTACGTTATATTTTTGACACTTGGATGCTAAAAGAATTGCTATCAATGTACAAGCATTACTTCCAATGGTTTTATTATAAATGTTGTAATGTGACTGAGAAAATTTGGATTCGAACCATGTAATCCTAAAATTGGCATCACCATTACCTAAAAGTTCAGTTTCGTAATGAGGAAAAAATGGCATCTCGATGTTTTTGGAACCCATTTTTAATCATTTAATTTTGATTCGAAATTATTTTGTGACACTTTAAGGTGATATTGTCAAGGTTGACATTTAGAAAGATTTTTGAATATCAACACAATTTGAGGTTTGTCATTGGTTTGGACCATATTCCACACTAGCTTTTTATTTTATTATCTAAGCTCACAGTGTTTTGCCATGTATTGACTACGCATCTGCTTACAGCTAGAAGAAGGCTGTAAAGACAAAAGTTATTGAGGTGCTTAACTTCATCATCATCTAATAGCCTTTTCACGTCCACTCGAGTTAAGTCTTTTTGGCACCGGTTGTCGGCTCTTTGTCTCCACCCCATGATTTTCTTCGTTCATCTTCCGTTTCTTAGTCTTCTGATATATTCGTTGGTTCTTGGGATAACCTGGTTCCCAGTGAGCAGACCCACATAATTCAAGTAAATATGAAACATTCCTTAAACCTAAAAAAATACTAGGGTCATTAGTTTCAAAGATAAAAAATCAACAGCCCTCTAGGAACTTAAAATCCAATTAAATAGGTAGATCTTCAGATCAAAATTTGGGGAGAAGGAGTCATTTTTGCTATAAGTGACCTGCTATGAAGTATTTAAAAACGACAAATAAAGAAAATATCAACCCCCTACCTGTGAACCCCTAAGTGGGGGTGAAAGGTACCAACAAAATTTCAAATGAAAAGGGGGGGTCGAGTGATACGTCATTTGATAGCTATTTTCATTAAGAATATCCCCGAAGTTTCAAGTTGCTACTATTTACCCTGTCAAAATGGCGGCTTGTCAAAGTTAGGAAAAATCAATGGAAAAATGCTATGTGGTTTTTACCTTTTACCTACGCATAGGTGTGACAGGTAAAAACTATACAGCTTAGATTATCGAATGTAATACCACAAGAGGTTTCAGGATTACCGGATAATACTTTTACGTCACGAAACGCGTTACGCAGCAACACCATGACTCCGAAGGAGGAGTGGTGTTGCTGGTAACGCGTTGAGTGTCAGGTGAAAGTATTAGGTAATCCTCAAACATCGAGTGGTATTCAAAAGGTTATACAACGAACTAAACTTCAATACTTTATCAATCTTTATAATCATTAATGACAAATTGACAATATTGCCACCAAGCGCGATAATCCCAAAAGGCTTATCACTTGTTAAGCCTCTCGTGTCATATGGGAATAATGTACAGTGAGTTGTATAATCGAAAAAAAGCCTTTATCCTAACTTTGACATGCCGCCATTTCGGCAGGGTTAATAGTAGGAACTTGAAACTTCGGGGATATAATCTAAATGAAAATAGCTACCAAATGACATATCACTCGACCCCTCTTTCCATTTGAAATTTTGGGGGTACCTGTTACCCCCACTTAGAGGTTCATAGGTAGGGGGTGAAAATACCAATAAAATGTGTCCCCCAAAAAACAAAAATCCACATGTCTGAGCGATTTTTTATTAAACACCTAACACCTGAGAAAACCTGGGTTGAAAGTTTTTCGTGCCCCACCCGGTATTTATTAAGGTTTAAAGTCAACCCCTATTTTCTGAACCTTGTGTTCAAAAATTCCAAAAAAAAATATATGTTTTATGGTTATCGATATACTTTAATCCATAATTTTTTTTAAGTAAATTTGACTCGCCATTTTCAAGTTATATCGCAAAAACTGAAAAAAAAGTAGTTTTTCACCATTTATTTCAAAACGAATAGATGAAGTTTCCCATTATTTTTATTACGAACTACTATTGCAATTCTACGCGACATAAATTTTTTTCAAATTTTTTGAACTTGTAGTTTTCTCGTTACTGCAAAAATAGTTGGAAATACGCCCGTAGCTATACTGTTTAGAAAAAAATTCGACGGATGAACGTTCAAAATTATTTGCGTTGGTCGAAACTACAATCCTGTTTATGTAAAACAGAATAATACTTCGAATTTCCGCCAAAAAAAGAAAAAACGTTCCATCATACAATTTAATCAAATGAAGATTTCTATTTTTTTTTTTTTTAGTCAAGGTAGGGCACACTATAGGGGCGACAGCATTGACATCTCGCGTTGCTGTAATAAACTATAGGCCTGACTTTAAACCTTAAGAAACTATAGTAATAATTTGCAGATTTGATGAAATGAGTGAGTGAGGAAAAGTTGTGCTTCTTGTTGTTTCAATACTGTTTGTTAAAAAAGTGACCCGTATTGTTAATAGAGCGTTATCTGCGTGCATTTGTGGACTTTCAGTTTTATGTTTAGTGTAAAGATTATTATTGTTATTTAATTCTGTGTTGTTAGTGTTGACTTTGTTGAGAAATGCTAACATATCTCTCTTCAATTTCAAATTGTGGTCTTTATCATAATAATATATTATGCAATGATCGATAGCCATTATACACGAGCATGTTGTAGGATACGAAACGAGCAGCAGGCGAGTTTCGTATAGAACATGCGAGTGTATTAATGGCCATTACATGAGAGTTGCATACACTTTTTTTTCTACTTCCATTTAATAAACGAAAAACATATTTATTTTATAATAGTTAGGGAGACGACCGCATTTTTCCTACCCCGATCGAGTTATGTGTCGACACTATTATCAATATATAGTATTATGTGCATCTATTAACCGATATTCCTGCCTGAGAGCAAATGCTGCCGGAAATATCTTTTAACAAATTATTAACAAATTGAAAAAAACGTAACACTACCCCCATCGAGTTATGCCCTAAGTAGGGTATCAGATTGAAGGTCTCGATGTCCCCTATCTAAAAAGTCGATCCTGCCTCGTGAGAACTTGCCGGAAAAGGGTGGCAGGGCAGCTTATTGGGGCAAGGGCCCGCGGTCTCAGCTTTGACACCTATCAAGTTTTGCGCTGAATGATGTGTCAAATTAAAGGTGTCAATAAGTTGATTTAAGGTCTCTTCGCACAAAAAACCCAAACCAGAACGAGTGAATTTCATTGTTTGAAACTAGTTTCCTGACTGTTTCCAACCAATGAAATTCGCTCTGACTTGTTTGTGATTTCTGTGCGAAAAGATCTTAAATTAACTTATTGACACCTTTAATTTGACACATCATTTAGTGCAAAGCTTGATAGGTGTCAAAGCAGAGACCGCGGGCCCTTGCCCCAATAAGCTGTTCTGCCACCCTTTTCCGGCAAGTTCTCACGAGGCAGGATCGACTTTTTAGATAGGGGACATCCAGACCTTCAATCTGATACCCCAACTTCTTTTTTTCAAATGCAAAGACATGTATTGTGATAGCTTGTTGAAATGGACATAAAAAAAGGAAAATGATCCATTATTTACTTTTGTATTTCGGTAATCTAGTTACGTAATAGACCTATCTCCCATGATTAGAAAAAGGAAGCTTCATTGTAATAAATACAAGTTAGAAAACAATAAAAGATGACATGCGCGCGCAACTCGTAGGCTGCAATGTAGCCAGATTGTATTGTTGCAGAACAAATGTAGGCAATACAAATCGAACATTATAACATTAAAGAAGTTTTATAGTCTCAAGTGTTTCACAACGCCTTAAATCAGACAAAAGAACAGCTTTAAAGCGGATAAACATCGTTTGCACTTTTATTTTGATAAATGTTTCATCCGGCAACATCGCTCAATGAGATTGCAAAGGAATATGTCAAGTATAATCTAACATAACCTTAAACGAAACTGCGGTGAGTTCAAGTAATATGTAAAGTATTAGTTTGCTCTTTGTCAAATTACACGTTACAAAGAAAGAAGGAACGATTCATTCTGAACTGGCCCCTGAATAAGAATATGACGCAAGCCTGTCATAAACTTGCTTCTCATTGGACGCTCACCTGCAGCCTACAAGCGACGCGCGCAGTCCAGGTAATAGGAGATCGGTCTATTATTTTTGACAATAACGCACTATTTTAGGGTTGAGAATCCGAATATCAGGCACAAATAGTGTGTTAACGTCAGAAATAATTACAAAACGTTACAAATGGGGCTTGTTTTCGCATTAGGGTTCTACCAAGAAGAAATGCTAAAGATATTCAACAATTTTAACTGTAAAAAAATTGTGTGGAAAAATATATTTTAATTTTTCTCTCGCACCAAAATGCAAAAGTAAATAATGGGTCAATCTCCTTTTTTTATGCTCATTCTAACGAGCTATCATAATACATATCTTTACATTTGAAAAAAAAAAGTTGGGGGTGGTTTCTACCCTTAAGAGAGGGGTAAATTCCATGAAAAGGCCAAAAAAATGTGCCAAACTAAAAATAAAGAGACCCGTTTTTTTTATTTTTCCAGAAAATAAACAGGCTTTCTGATACTGAATTTATTCCATTTAAAAATTCCACCCTGTATATTGATAATAGTATCGACACATAACTCGATCGGGGTAGGAAAAATCCGGTCGTCTCCCAGACTATAAAGAATAGTAAACTTTTCAACTGGTGACAATTGTTGACAAATTGACAATTTCAAAAATTAAGATCTAGACGTCATTTGGGCATAAATCCCAGACCCGATTTATCAATTGTTTGTTGTTTCTTCTGGTAAATACTAATAGAAACAATCCAAAATTTCAAAACAAGTCTGTCATTTTTATATAAACATTGTTCATGTTCAAAATACTCGGTTCTAGTGGCTGAAAAATCTGTATCTTAATGAAGTTATGAAACAGATTTAAATCGTTTAATAGCGTATCATGAAATGTCAGTAGAAAAAAAATTAATAAAAAGCAGATCTAAAAAAAATATAAGGAAACTGCTCTACAAGCTGCTGCAATGGGATGAGCTCATTTCATAGACAACAGATGGCATCACAAATGGTTGTTCGACTCGTATAACTATCCCTACTATTAGGCCTAAAACACACGGAGCGGTTTCTGCCGAATCGGCACCGATTCGGCGGAGGAGCGGCTCGAAACACACAAAGCGTTACCGCTGATCAACTAATTCAAAAATGCATAATCTCGCTGTTGCCAGCTGTTTGCGTACAGTCACACCGTACGCAATGGCGTCTTCTAGTGACGACCATTTTTTTTGGGATTTTGTTAGAAT